GTCCACGTGCATCGAGTTGAATCCCGATAGAATTATTGCTACCAGAGCTAGATGCGGTTCGTATCGTACTTGATCTTGCCAAATCATCAATAGGAGATTCATTATGTTGATAATTGGATTGTTGGGCAATATGTTGAAGCCGTGGTGATTGTGTTATGGGATGCTTTCGTACATCACCAGGACCTTGAATATTTTGCTGTGATGAACCTGATCCGATAACAGGAGTTGATGTTTGACGTCGTAAATCTCCCGGACCAGAAGAAAATGGTCTTTGAAAATCTTGTGAAGAACCACCCTCAAGTGCTCGTAGAGAACTTTGTCTGTGTGCTTGAATTTCTTGAATTTCTTGATGTTGAACATTTGTAAGAGGTGATGAGCTAGTCTCAGGAACTTGCGAGCTCGAATCAATAGGTTGATCATCAGGTATTGAAGGTCGAGACTTTTCCATCGAATCATATTCGGATTTTTGATTATTTAGTTGAGAAACAGTTGTTGGAGATATAAATGACTCATCTTTAACAGATTCAGATGTTTTTGTTATTGGAAATGAAAAATTCGATTTAATGTCATTTTCTATAATTGAGGTAGGAGAATTTTTTCTATTTGTTTTCGTTTCTTCTTTTTCCTCATTTTCCTTTTCTTCCTCATCTTCCCTTGTCTCAACCTCCTTCCCCTTTTCATACACCTTTTCCTTATTTTGCATATCATCCAAAGCTTTTTCAATAGACCGTTCAGTTGGAATGCTGCCATTTAAAATTTCATTAGTGGCTTGTACATTAAGCAAATTGCTACCAACCGCAAGGATTGTTTGTTGCCCTGGATCGATAGGATCAGGTTCTTCTACTTCCTCAATGGGAGTTTGTGGAAGTGCAGAATCTTTAATTGTACCGTGTGGTGACGCAGATGATGTATTGGCGTACATAGAAGCCCTGTCGCTTTTTTCAAACGGAAGAAAGTTGTATAGACTTTTATAATTCATACCAGTTCCTTGCGAAGATTGACTTGAATTAGTTGTTGAAATCAAATTATAATTGGCATTTTTTGTGCTTTGAGGACTTCCGATAGGTTTGTCAGTGCTTGGGGGTAATACACGTTCTACAGAAGTTCTTTCATAAGAAGCTTTCCGATAACGAGTCCCATTTTCACCTGGACCGGCATAAAAATTCACGTAACTTGGTGGTTCTGATTTATAAAATAAAAATATAAATATCTAGAATCATAAAATTCAAATAAGGAAAATTATATCGCATGCCTGAATACCTGGTATTTCCGATCCCGTGGCGCACTCTTTAACGAAAGTTTGAATATCTTTTTCTACAATACAATTTTCCAAACACACTCTAATTCGTTCACAAGACTTTAATTAAACAGTAA